ACGAAAAAAGAAGAATAGGAGAGACAAAAAGAGGGGTAAAGCTAATGAACTAAAGGAAGGGGTGACTAGAGGAGAAGGCAGGAAACGTACACGAAAATATGAACGGTGAAATGAAAATAGATCGACAGAAAATAGATCGAAGAGATAAATAATTAGATAAAAAAAAAAGAAACTGGAGAAAGTGAATAAATGAATGATGAAAAAAAAATGATACAAAGAGAAAATACTTGCATGAACAAACGAATGAAAAAGAAGAAAGACACCGAAAGTTAACGAGGAGCAAGATGAAGAAGGAGCAAGATAAGAGGGGAATAGAGGAAGGGAGAAGACTCCTGGTTGCTGGCAGATCGATAGAACGGAGCTGCGTAATACATATATATTCGGTTTTCCACGCGAGAAACCGATAGACGCGTTGGAACGCCATGAATGAGATACGTGGTTACGTGATGAACACGCTTCGAGGAAATTATACGTACACAAGTAAGTGCATATAGGAGGCTGTCGTTGCGATTCAAAGAGCCGCCCCACCACTGTTTTTATTCCGGTGCCGAACATAAAATAAGTTTTACGGCTTGGGAAGAACGTAATCCGCCAACAAATTCATACTGAAAACTGTTGCATTTTCAAGTCCAAATAACTTCTGACGTCACGCTCTATGTATACATTAAATTATTACTTGTCTCACCGCGAAATCGTGTAATATGTTACTCTTTAATGATTTTTCAAACATAGCGAGGCAACTTCGATTATTTTTATTTTCCATCGAGTTTCGCGTTTTATAGGTTTGCCCGTAAATTTCTTACCACTAACTGATAACAAGTGTGCCACGCAGAATGGTCTGTGAAAACATACATACATTTGATCGAAACATTATTTCGAATAATGGGAACATTTCGCTTCGAGATTTAACGTGTTTCAAATAATTAAATAAACTTTTTAAAATAATTAATTATCAATTTTTTTTTGATAAAATAATTATCAATATATAATATAATTTGATAATGCTAAAATTAAATGAAGCCAAATATAAAATTTGATCACAAATATTTTATTTCTTTTTATTTTTTATCATACATTAAATTTTTCATTATTTCTATGAAACTATTATTTCTTATTAAGTTATTATTAAAAATATTTGTAACTTTTTTAGAATCATATATTTTTATAAAAAAAATAGAATAATAATAAAATATATTTTTTTCTTAAATATATTTTAATTCTTAAATATAATTAATAATAAAATATATTTTTTTCATATGTAACATAAATTTTTTAAAATAAATATTTTAAAAATTAAATTTTTTAAATTTTCTAAATTATATTTGTTTTGCATCATTTGAAATAAATTTATTTTCATATTTATAACATTTTAGAAATTATAATAAATATAATTTATCACGTATCATTAAATGAAGAATTATTTGTATGCGAACTTATATTTTAATATTTAATTAATTTAATCACAAGTATATGTATATGTATATGTATATCCTTAATATAATATTTAATATATTAGATATTAAATTATTACTAAGATATCATTATTTCTAACATAAACACTAAAAATTTTAAATTGTTTAAAATATAATACAAATAGAAAAATATTTTAATTTCCATTATGGAATTATTATTATTTTTATATATTAATATCTTATCGATTAGTTATTTTTATCTTAATAGTTTTTATTTGTTTTAAATATTAAAGTTTGATTAACTCCATATTTAATGATTCAAACAATTATATATCTACTACCCGCATTATATACCTGATTAAAATTATAAGATAAATCAATATGAACTGATAACGATACTGATTCAGTATAGATTCAGTCAGTCATTCCTATTTTATTAGGAAAACGCAAATATATATTTGACGTAATATAAGTGTAACAATATGCAGTAAGAATTGAAGGCTATAGATACTTCAGATATGACGCACCTATACAGTGGCACAAAAATAAACTCCTTGGATAGAGGCTACAATCAATGACGTCACATTCGGTCAGAGTTCATCGGTCAGTGACTTCTGTTCGTTCCAATCACCTGGCAGCAATGATAAAAAATTTGTTGTATTTATTCGTGAAATAATATTTCAACTATACAATCCTTCGTTGAGAACAATTCCGTAGCATGCTTAGTAGATTAACGATTCAACCAAGCGATAGTGCACACGAAAATCAAGTTGATCCATATATTGAGCACTATACAATTACACAAGAAACATATATACACATATACACACGTCACTCGTAAACTACCGAATCTCTCTCAATTATTCTAATCCTATTCTCTTTATCGCACTAATTGCCGCATCAATACCATTGTTTTAGACAATCGCTTTACACAATACATAATCGATTTTCTTCAATTATTAGCACATTGATCACTTGAATCAATCACACAATCACATTTCACGTGTATATTAATATTCATTACTGATTAGAATTTGATTTCGAAGAAACTATTTTGAATGATCAAAAAATCAAAAAATGCGCGCGATGATATTCAGATATATTCAGGTGGGAAAATGTTATCGATCATGAAATTGTCTAGATAGATGAAATAAAACTGAAAAATGAAACACGGCGAAAAATGTGAGGTTCATCTACTTACTTACTTGCTATCGGCGTTCCCTAGCTGACAAGATGATGACGTTTCGTCGCTGTCATTGTCATCAACCTCTTCTGAAAGGGGTTGTGCTGCGGCATGGCTTCTGTCGCCGGTCTCCAGGTCAGCGACGAGAGTGTACATCGACGATATTTAAATAAATGCAGAATGTCGTTTTCTTAACGACATTGTTGTCGAATTTGTAATCGATGTACGAATCACTTTCCGCGTATTGTCCCTCGCGTTATACAATAGAAAAGTAATTCGCCGAGTCCACGAAGTGGGCCAATTTCGTTCACAAACCCCTTGTACACTCGATCGCAAGTAGCGCCCTCCCGCCACTAAACTGACTGATTGTGTACAAATATACGCTGGTGGCACCACCTTGTGCTCAAATAACGAAAACTCGTAATGTCATTAATGATCGATTCATAGATTAGTTGCATGATCATGTGAAAAAACATTTTCATCTAAAAGATTGATTAATAATTAATGACATAGCAATTTAATAAATATATTATATATTTTATTCATATTATAAAATTGATTTTCTTTGTTTAATTTTATAAAAGTAACAAAAATTTAAATATGAATAAAACAATATGTATTTATGTATATAATTACAATATTTATAATATTTATAATATATATGAATATTTATAATTATTTTTAATGAATTAAATATACATAGATACTATTCAATGTAATATACATAGATCTCTCAACAATATAACAAGAATATCAATAATCATATCCACATTCCTCTGATTCAACATTTGCAAAAATTTATCGATATTGAAGAAATATTTTTATAAAAATGTTTGATATAAAAAAATAATTAATAATAAACATCAATAAAATCATTATTAATATTAGCATGATCTTAACGATGCATATTATCCATATGTAAATACATAATCGTATAAATCGTATATAATCGCTGTTAATCCTCATTAAATATAAAAAGTTAGCAATACATAATTAAAAATTCAGTCAAATTTTATAAAATGTAATTCTATATATCGATTATAATGCTATCATTATAAAAATGAATAAAAAAAAATTTTTAAATAAAAAATAAATTAAAAAATTTTACTTATTAAAATTTATAAATCCTTATATTTGGTAGAACTAATCTATTATTTGGATATTTATTTTATTTATATCATAGTATATTGGAAAGTTTTCTTTTATCAAGTTAATCAATCAAAAATTCATTAAAGTTAATATTCAAAAAAAAAAAAAAAATTGTTATCGAAAGTGAAAGAAAAATGATACATATATATATATATGTTTCGATAGGATTAGACACAACATGTAACTACATGTTTAGAATGGCGCAGCGACCTCCACTGTTCACAGGCAAAGAAAATAATCGTTGCTCCAGTTGGATGTGCGCCAGCAAATGTAGCTCCTTTTTAAGTTTGTCCTTCAAGCGTAGCCTTGACTTTCAGGTTACATATGTATACTTCTAGTCAGTACCTTGCACCTGTCTTCTAAGATATTGTAATTGGAACATCTAGATATAGTTGTTGCATTTGTTCATATCTGTTACCTAAAAATACTTATGAAAATAAATCGATAAATTCTGGTTAAATTTTGTCTTCAAATAAGAAATTTTAATAACCATAGAAAATTCAGATGTATTTATTTAGCAAACAATTTGTAAAATTTTTAACGATAAATATTACAATATTCTATGATAATTTTCGTAAATTAATTGATGCATAAATAATTTTTTTTCACCATGTATATTATTTTCAAATTATAATTGTAATTCAAAAAAATGGCTGTCTATATAAAATATAAAATTTCGAAATTAATATTATCAGTATTTTGCTTTTAATAAATATTTAATTTAAAGATATGTAGATATAATACTATATAAATTTTAAAGAATAAATACAACATTCTTAAAATACATCTATTCAAAAAATATCGTGCATTAATTGCATTACAAATTTCATTAAATTGTACGTTGATATTTAATTTAAAATGTTTTTATTCGAAAGTTTAAATACTGTTATATAAAGCTTAAATATTTTACGTAATATTTCATAAAAATTCAATATAAAAATATCATAATTATTCTCTTCATGTAATATCATAATCATTTAATCATTTTATTATAATAATTTTATAAATTCACCTTTTTTAAATATATTAATTTCATTTTTTTTAAAATTGATCATTTTTAAACATATTTTTATAATTTATGAATAATTTTGCTATAAAACTTTTCATTTATCATTAAAATGTATTAAATTATTCTGATATTTTAGTAATATAATAAATATATAATCAAATACTTAAGATTAATTATTAAATCATTGTGCCTCATAAGTGCCTCATATATGGATGAAATATATTAATCATTATTATCGAATAACTATTATTGTTAGAAATGACATTAATACTTTCTCTGTTTACATTTCACGAATCGATTAAAATATAACTATTAATACATATTTCGCATATTTCTTAAATACTTTGAATTCTCTTTTTTTTTTTTTTTTTTTTTTTTACGGATCTAAAAGGTTTTAAACCTCATCTATTTGTTACAGAAATAGTATAAAATGTAATTATTTATCTTTTTTATTTTCTGAGTTGATTATTGGATTAATGTTTGTGTTTACTTCGTCATTATGTCCATCTTTAGAAATTTTATCATCTTGAATTTCTGTGATATTAGCTTTTTCCTCTTTTGTTTCCTCTTCTTCTAAAAGATAGTCCCAGTCTTGCGAATCATCACCACCATCTCGAATCTTACTTAATTCCCTCTTCAACATTTCCAAACATTCCCTTCGTTCCTTCCATTTCTCAGCTTGTTCAGGATTTGGTTTGGCATCTCCGCCTTGCATTTCCTGTTCAATCTTTTCTTTTCTTTCACATTCTAATATATACTTCTCATAGTTTTCCATCTACACAAAAATTTATGATCATAAATATTCATTCAATTATAAATAATTTAATTTTAATATTATTAAAATGAAATAACTCTATTATCTAACATCATTGCTTCATTCTCGCTTTATCTAACATAATCTTAAATAAATAAATCTTTGCTGATATTTTTGTATACCAACTTTTGCATTTATTTTTACTTCTAGAATCGACTTCTAAAAGTATACGAATTTCATATTTATATTAATAATCTGTTTACATATGTTTTGTAATTTATAATTTGTAATATAATTTATAAACAAGTAATCGCAAAATAGATTCGTTTATAATCAATTAATCATTCGGATTAAAATATCATTTTTTAATCAAGTTTTGTGTGATGAAAAGAAAGCGATCATTCTGTATAAAAAACGAATGAACATAAACTTCTTATGTATACAATTAATCAATGTCAGATCAAAGAGATTGGAGAACATTTTCATACTGCTTTAAAAGAAGAAAATACTCTAAAACACTTCTGTGTATCTCAAATAATATAGAGAGCTTGAGATTGATCAACTGGATAAAAATCACAAATATATAAATAATTTAATTGTCATCGTTAAAAATTTTGTAAAAATCTTTTTAATCTTTTCAAACTCTAATTAACTTCCTCTTCATTAATTTTAATGACTTTTTAATTTTAATGACTACATTAGGTATCTTTTTGAGCAACTTTTTCACGAAAATATAGGATTTTCTTAATTTTCAAGATATTTAAAAAAAATTTATTGCTATTATTGCATTGAATTTATATATATTTATCTATTACAATGTTTATATCATGTTGATGCTTTTTTACAAAATATATATACACATTGAAATAACTGATAATCAAAATGTATTATATAATCTATCAAAAAATAGTTGCTCTTAAATAGGTTTGAAATCTCATTCTAATCTATAACAAATTTTGGTATTTCATGAATTCTTTTTTCTTGTGAAATACGAAAATAAAATATAAAACAATTTTTGAACGATTGAAATAATTCTATCATCCAAAAATTATTTTAAATTTTATTTCGCATATTTTATTATATAGATTTAGATAAATATGATGATTAGTTTATTATAATTATTGTAATGTATTTACATAAATAACTATATCCTTCTTGAAATTCGAAGTATTACATTCGAAGTATTACATTCAAATTAAGCGCCATTGAAAATGATTGTTATGGTTGATAGAATTTTGATTTCTTGACAAATAAATATTTGTCAAATAAATAAATAAATCGAATAAGCAATACAGAGAAATTTATAAAAAATATTATATAAAAATATAAATTTCCATAAAAATCTATTGTCTATTATTTTCTCAAATTTCTAATTTAACTTTTTTTTTCTTCTTTTTTTTAAACTCTTTAATGTAATATTTGAAGAATTAAAAATTGCATCTGTAATTTCATATTTATTAATAGAAATCGAAAAATCTATAATCCTATCCGATAATTTTTATACGCAATTAAACGTTCTCACACAATTGCTCGAATCATATTAACTTTTAAAATTACGAGAAACATTTACAACTATCCAATTCCGCATTTAATTCGTTCATAAAATTTTATCATGCATCTCTCTAATAAGGGTTATCCACAATAATTTCATTTTTTAAACTTCCTCAATATCAATACATTAGATTTATTCTTTTTAATATTTCTTAAAATTTCATACATATATCTTAATAACTCTTTTTTATAACTCTAACTTATAATCGAATAATTTAATAAATTTGCGAATTATAAATAGTGAATTATTGTGAATTATAAATAGTGAATAATAATTTGTTTTTTCATATAATTTAATCTTTATTTTTATTTAATTATAATTTAATCTTATTTGTATTTTAACTATTAACTAATTTTATTTATTTATGAGAAAACAAATCGTAAAAATTTTAATAAAATATTCTATATATATATTTAAAGTAATAAATACAGATAATTATTTCATGGAGATCGAATATAAATATTCAAATTAATAAATCATATGCTCAATATTCAGAATTTAGTTTTATTTGATTATCGATTTTTCAGAATCGAGAATTATTATTTATAAAAAAATAATATATATATAATATGTGAATTCTTCATCAATAAATCTTTCTCTATAAGATGTAATATTAGCATTTTCTTTGCTAAAAGAATTTAAAAGAACGAATAGAAAATGCATAAAAACCTTATCTTGCAGCATTCGTTGGACATGATTTTGTCTTTTTAAATGGCGCGGTAACCAAAAACATGCTTGGATGAGTCGTAAAAATATCCAAACAGCACCAGCAAGAGCCAAATAGGAACAAGCAGTGAACACCATATTTACAAAATCGACGGTGATCTGTTGATACTTCATAATCGATTATTTTTAATAAAATCTGCAATCAAATAAATCAAAATAAGAACATCTTCGATAAAACTGAAAAAATAAATAATAAATTAAATAGATAATAAATTGATTTTTATTGATTTTGTTTCATGTAATATTTAAATATTATAGAAAGAAAAAGATGACAAATATTTTTGTTACATAAATAAATCGATGTATACAAGTGCTATTATAAATATATCATAATATTCAAATTTACAACAATGATCAATATACTAATACTAATAATATTAATATTAATATTTATATCTTTTCAAAACATTTCTATTAATTTTTATGTCAATATTTGTTATATGAATTATGTTAGTTTACAATGAGTTTATAAATATTGTATATTAAATATATTTATTATTATTTTGATTGTATTATTATTATATTAACGTTAAAATATAATGTAGTGAATATAAAGTGATAAAATAGATAAGTGAAGTGTGAATTAATAAATTTATTATTAATAATTTTTATTATTATATTAATTTAACTTAACTAATAATATAAATCTATTTTGAAGAAAACTATAATGTTTAGTGCACTCTAATGTGCAGTGCATATAATAAATGTGAATAACATTCTGACATTCATTTACTTATCAATGATACACTATGAATGTATCGATTATGCTTACTTTGTTAAAACGATAAATGTGCATTATGCGTTATGTATTCTTTCAATGTTTATTACATATCTTTTATTTCTAATTTTTAATTAGTTATATCAATTGTAATTAACATTGTTTTTTAAGATATTATAATATGAATATTTTTTACATTAATAATATTTCACATCGAAATATAGACATTTAATGAAATTCTTAAATATTACACTCACCATGTTATTATAAAAATCGACGTTAAATCATTACTGTTGAATAAATCACAGGTACGTAGTTTACTCACAAGTTATGTAAATAAAGAAGAATATTATTTTAAATAATAATAATCATATATATAAAAATAAATAAAAAGTTTTTAATATAGTAAAAAATTATTTTTCTTCTGACTTTTATACTTACTCATTCTAATATTTGAATAATTAAATAATTAAAAAAAAGAGATTCTTGTAACAATAAAATATTATATTTCAAAATTATCGATTAATATTATCAATTTTAATATTATAGAAACAATATTATAACTACATTTTTATTTTCCACAGTTTTCAATGTTTTATCTAATTTATAATATAATGTATTTAACAGTGAATATCATATGAATATGAAAAATATATATTCATACTATAACTATACGGATGTTCTACTTTCATTTGAATTCTGCTTATTCGTAGCGCGCAAATTTGATTTCGTTTTATGACGTTAAATTTATGTATACTTTCTATATTCAACAAACTTACCTTTTTTAAAGAAAAAATAATATTATCATATCCAAGTTAGGTCAAATTTTTATATAAAAGAAGACAAAAATCATATGTAACACGAGTAGAAAGTAGAAGAAACGCCGAATACGTCAGGCTGACAAGTGAAACACAACTATCCACTACTGACCCCTATCGAAACAATCGATATATGGATATAGCCACGTATGATTAAACTGACGTCCTGACGTTTTACAAATATTTCAATCTGAACAGGACATTAATGATTTACTTTCTTTAATTTATTCTATAATATTATTTTCGAATAACAATCGCATTCAAAATTTTTTAATTATTCTTTGGACATATAGATATTTATTATAAATTATATATTCGCATATTTAATATTTATTTCTTAATTAATTAAATGAAATAGAGATTTTTAATGCAATTATATTTAAGTAAGAAATTCAATAATTTTAATGATATATCAATTTATATTTTTTTGAAAAATATTATTTCGAATTATTTATTAAAAAAATATGAGAAATCATTTAAATAATTTTTTTATATATTTAGGAAATAGAATAAAAAAATTATATTTAAGAAAATATATTTATAATTTAATCTTGATAAAAAAAAATATAAAAATAATATATTATCTATTAAATATTTTAATTGTTTTTTTATTTATATCTTATAAATAAAGAATAAGACAAAAAAATATATATTTTCAATAATATATGAAAAAGCAATACGGATAATGAAAATATATATATAATGATATTTATGATATAGATTATTTAATCATTATAAATTTCAGTTTTTTATTTTCTTATTTAAATTGGAAAGTAACTAAAGCTGAAAAGAACAAGGAAGAATACACTTTTTATTTTTACAGAGATAACTTAAAAATAATACGTTCCACGTCCCAGCTAACATTAATTACCTAAATACAAATTGACACTTTGTGGTATTAATAGCAAGATTTGAATCATCGCTTGAGTGAAGAATTTATTGTGTATCATTTAACTATCAAATTCTAACATTTAACATGATGTCAATACATAATTTATTTTCTACGAAATTATACACGTTCATCTAAATCTGATACAATACGTACAGAATAAACAGATGTGGAATGTGTGACTGCAGTCATCAACAAGAAGGAACAAGGCCCATTGCACTTTTAGTTTTAATACGAAATACATATTTTTTTTTTTTTTTTACGTTTTTAAAAGAGAAATATTTATGTCACAGATCTTACATAGAACAGGAGGTAAGGAGTGGCGGAATTTCGTGGATTTGGCGCTAGTTTATCTTCTAATTCTCGCAATGGGATTACATGCACTGCTTCATCATCACATTCTAACCACGTGCTAGGATGTTTATGACGTCGAATACCACAACAATCCATACTGCGGCAACCAAACCTGATTAATTGTTCCTTAGTTTCACTAGCACTTGGTTTACTTCTAAAGTATTTTAATATACCAGATGTTTTATCTGATGAAGACGAATTTGTATTTGTGCTGCTACTACCCTGACCAGAAGTTTGTCGCTTACTATCTCGGTCACATTGAAAATATTCTGCAAATGCAGATTCATCAGGCAAACGGGTATAAGCAACATAATGACCAGCTGTCATTGTTGCACCCTGATGCATAATTACAGAATATAATTTATATACATGTCGTGATTCTGATCTGCCACCTGTAGTTCGTGATTGATCGTTATTGCATTCTTCACAAAAACATTGTAATGTTAATGGCGTTGGCATATGATTATTAATTTTTTCCATTGACCTAATATAATATATGTCTTTATATTAAATATGAAAATGTTATTTATTTTATTATCTTATTATCAATAAATATATAATAATATTATTATCAATAAATCAATAAAAGTAAAAAATAATCTTACCCTGCTGCAGTAGAAAATCTTTTCAATTGCAATATAAGTAGTCTTGGTAAAGATGGGAAACATACAGCTCTACGAGCTTCATTATATCGAAGACAACGAGCGCACCAATATTTATCTCGGCCCCAAAGAAGTTCACTAGTAACTACTGCACGTTTATATACCTCACTACTATCCATTGGTCTTACTTCTTTATCTACAATGAATAATATATTTATAATTTAATCACTTTATAAGTTAATTAATATAATAAAAGATACGTACCTTTTTCACTTGATCTGTCTATATCTATAGGCACACATATATCGCAAAATGTTTCTTTTCGTTCTGTAACATGTTCACATTCAAGACATGTAGTTCGCAGAAGACTAATTCCTTCAAAATCTTCTGAAATAAAACATTTCTTGCTTTCCAATCTATGACTACTTATATCTCCGTTACTTTCTGGAAATTCAGCATGACCATTTTCATATTTCATACAATATTTCATATAATACTTCACATTTTCGTATGGTCTAGAAGATACTGATACACCATTTAAATTTGATTGTACAAGACAAGATGAACTTCCTCTTGTTGTTATTTTTTTCTTTTTTCTTGATTTACGAATGCTTCTTTTATTAGAATTATTACCTTCTGATTGTACATCTGTTAAATGTTCAGTGGAAAAGTCTGATAATGTATCATTATTTTGTCCAAATTGACTTTCTCTATGTCTGACCAACAATTGGAATGTTTCCCTAATATTATCGAGCAAACATACTAAAAGTTCATGAGCATCTTGTTGCTGATTTCCCTCAAAGATAGGATTTACATCTCTGAAAGAAAAATATGTATCATATAATATATGTAATATGTATATTTCTCTCTTAAATATATTTTTTTTTAATATAATATATACCTAAGAGCTTGTAAAAACGCATCTGGCTGGTATGGTTCACTATTTTCTCTTGCTTCAGATGCACGTAATGCCATAAATAATTCATGTAATTTTTCAGTAGCTATTTGTATTCTGTGTTTATTATTATCTCCAGTAGGTCCAGCCAAAGCTAATAAATCTTTACTACTCCAACTCCGACTGCCACTTGATGTAAGTGATACACCAGTTCTACCCAAAGATGATGACTTTATCTATATAAAAAAAATTATTATATAATTTTATTTATTATTATATTATTTTATTATTATTTTATTATTATTTATATTATTTTATTTTAATATTATTACTATATAAAAAGTTTCTATTTTTAATATAATAAATCTTACTTTAGTTTGAATTTGTTTATCATTTAAATTAGATAAATCAGTGGCCAAATGATGCAAATTATGTAGAAATGATGGTGCAAATCGTAAAGTATATATCACACTGTTCAAAAAACATGTATTTCCTAAATTACATAAAGTAGCTATCCTTAATCCTTCTGTACCGCTATTTGATACATCATAACTTCCATCTTGATGATTGCTCAATTGATTACGATAACCATTCAACATTTTGCTTATACCTTCATAATTAATAAATATATGTTAAATTATACATAAATATACATACAATTTAAACATATTTTTTAAATATATTTAAAGTTTATAAAATAATAGAGTTAAATAAGTTTACATACTATGAGTACAGGTATCTTTGTTTAAAAGGCTCTCCCTCTCTGAAGTCTGAGGAGCCTGAGAAGTATTAATAGAAATTGTACGTTCACGACCAGAAAGGGATAAGCAAAATTTCTTCCTAGGAGGAACTGAACGTTTATCTGCATCTTCTTCTGTTTCTAATACTGTCATTTTTTGTTGACCTAAAATAACAATTAAAATTATATAATTTATTACATTAATGTAATCGAAATTATTAATATAAATTAATATAAATTTATTTAAAAAAGTTTATATTTGAAACTTAAATTTACTTTCACAGAAAAAAAAATATATATATATCTTATATAGGAATTTAAATTTAGAAATACAAATGTTATATATATATATATATATATATACACAATATATATACATATTTTTATATGGAAAAATATTTGTATTAATTACTTTAATTTATATTATATAAATATACAAAATTTAAAACTTATGTACTTACGTAGTATTTAGTAGGGAAGTCATGGAACAAATGAATTTGTTATTAACCTTAGTTAATTGAAAAAATCTGTATATACAATTAAACCACAAAATATTCTTCGATTAACACGAACTACATTTCTACTGCTGTCAGGAGGAACACTTTTTTTTACAATATTGCAGTAGCCATTACTCGTTGCACCTAATATCATATATTCACGAATCGCGTTCATGTGCGATTACAATTTCACATTTATGTAGCTTTTCCTATATTGTTCACACTTCCGTCATTAACGTTTCCCTAGAACCCGTTACGAGCGTTTGCGTCTGAAAATGGAGATTGGTGTGACTATGATATAAGTATATATTCAATAAATCAAAAGTAATTTCATATTAATTAAAATGTAAATAAGTTTAAGAATATTTTATTATTACTTTAATATTAGTAACTTATTTTTTTCTTTTATTGTAAATTATTTTACAATTAAAAATATAAAATTAATTATATGATAAATACATAAATCAAACAATTATTATATTATATCATTTTTATATATTTAATAAAAAATTTTTAATATTGTATAATTATAAAATAATATAACTTCTTAATAGTATGTTTTAAATGTGTATGTTTAAAAAATATGTGTATGTTTTTAAATATGAGTATATTATGTTAAAGTTAATTTACAAAATTATATTGATTATTTTTTTATATGAATTTTTTATACGTTATTAAAGAAATGTATGTAATTAAATATACATATATACAATAAATATATATGCAATTATTTTAATTGAGTATTTATTTATTTTTTTTTCTTTTTATATATTTTATTGCAAAAACCTTTTTTTTTATTTTCATTTATTAAATTATCAATTATTATTTACATTAATAATAATTTTTAATTCGCATTTTTCTTTAACATAAAAGACATATTTTTATAACAAATTTGCAAGTTCCATTTTTTATGCATTATTACTTACAAATGAATTATCAATAAATTAAGAAAAAAATGAAAAATTAATATAAAATTTAAAAATTTTGATATTGTTTATAATAATTTCAAAAAGAATTTTTATTTAAATATATTTTATTAAATATTTTATGTAATTTTATATTGCTTTTAAATATAACTAATTTTTTTACAGTGATAAAATATATTATACATAATAACATTATTATATTATTGTTTAATATATATTAGATGAAATATATATTTTAGATTATTTATATATGAAAAACTATTTTATTATAAAATGAATATAGGAAATAATAAAAAAATAAATTACTTGTTTTTATAATGAATTCCATTTGCTTATATTATTAAATATTATTAATATATTATTATATATATTATATTATTAAATAAAATTTATTCAATGATATAACTCATTGTATGTAAATTAAGTATTTATTAGAATCTAAGAAAATAAGATCAAATTAATAATTTTAAGATATTTTTTTTATGTCTGAAAATAATATCAATCATGCTTTAAAATGAAAAAGAAGTGAATTGAAATAACTTTCAAGATAAGTAGAATTTATTTTACATGAAAATGAACAATCAATATAATAATAACTTGTTTTATTTAAACTTGATTTAATTTATTTATATCTGATAATTTATTTCATTGAACAAATTTTATAGGGAATTGTATATGTTATGTTGGCTAAAGTATATACACTTATTTTAAAAACCGTTATGTAGACATTTGAAATTATCAAACTGTTTAAAAAAGTAAAAAAAATTAATATTATTTTTGTGCAATGTATTCAAATAACTTTGAAAAATTAATAATTCAAGCACGGCAACTTGATGATGGTATCGAAAAATTAATAACAACATGGAAATTGCCACATGTTTTAATTGGATGTTTTGGAGAATGTACAGAAGAAACAATTAATTATATTGAATCTGTATGGAATATTATAAAAAATACACAGGTCGGTATCATCAAATATGATCTATATCATATAAATATTATGATATTATTATAAATATTATGATATTATTTATTTAAAATTATTTAAAATTATTTAAAATTAAAAAAAGATATATATTTATTTAATTTTTTTAATGTATTATTATATAATTAGAATGGAATTGACGAAATTTTATCAGAAACGAAAGATTGGAGTATAGAAAATCCAATACATATGGAAGAGTTTCTTCAAGAAACTAGAAAAGAATATGAAACTTTAAAAGAAGATTGCGATAATTTGGAAGGTGTTTTTGCAGAGTATGGTTATGATTATAATAAAGATAATATTTTAGACCAGTAAGTTTGTAATTTGTAATATTCTAATAATATTCTAAATAATAATAAATATTTATTATTTTAACATTTTATTTTTAAATTACATAGAACTGACAAAACTTATGTAAATATTAATGAAAGTTCTGATCAGAACTTAGTTGAAGGTATAGAGAATTTAGAAGTTGAATTTACTCCTAATCTCAGTTGGAAATGTAAAATAAAACAAAATGGATTAACATCAACATATAATGATAATAATACATCCCATGCATTAAGTAATAGTTTAGCATCAGTTTCTAATGATATTTCTATTATACATAAGGATTTTATTTGTACTCCAGGAAGAGAACGTCCACAAGAACCAATTTATTCTAGACACTTTTATAACATATTAAAAAAATGAATTTTCAAGATTTTATATTTTATGATACATAGTTTAAGATCTGTATTATATTATTGTATATTTTTTGTTTTGTTAAGTATTAAAATATTTGAAATGAATAGAATTTTAAATGATTGAATTTCACCAGTTAATTTATTATACAATTGACATTATATCCATAAGTATTTATACTTATGGATATATAATATATATTAATATATATAATATTAATATATATTATAATATATATAATACATATTCTTTTATAAAAATATATTTCTGTATATATTTCTTTTTACAAAAATAAATTATAAAAAATTAAAGATATCTTATAAAATTTAATATTAAATTTAAATTATTAAATTTTTTAAATATTATATATAAATATCTTTTTGCATAGAATGTTCCAAGAATATATCTAAAAAAATTAATCTTTAAGAGCATCATTGCATTTATAAAATTTAATTATTTACTTAACTAGATTTAGTAAAAAAATAGATTTTTCTATACTGTGTACTTATTTGTTCATTTTTTCGTATGTTTATTTAAATTTAAGATATATTCTATTTTTTTAATCGATTTAATATTTATATTCTATATTAAAAAATATAATAAAAATATAATATAATTTAATATAAAAATATAATATAATATAATTTTGTCACTTAATTAATTATTAAAAATTATTTTTATTTAATTAATAATAAGTGATAAACAATATAGTTATGTGACAACAATATGGTTATGTTGACAATGAAAATGGTGAAGCAAATAAATGTAAATAATACAACATAACCTCATGTTATCCATTTTGTTTTTTAAAAATATCATTATAAAATAAACTTGAAATAAATACCTTTAATTTTTATAAATACTATGGGTTAGTATTAAATTTAATGTAAAATTATTAAAATATATTTATATTCGTAAATATCATATATTTATCGTAATTGTTATAGATACAAATACAAAATTATGTCAGGGTAAGGATATTTTTGAAAGGATGAATTACCTGTACCAGGTAATAATAATTTTTGATAATTTATATTTTATTGTTTTATGTTAAAGTAGAATTATTAATAAAATATTATTTATACAGGCAAGTTATTTAATGGCTTTGAAAAATAGAGTAGCAGCATCATATTATGGAAACATAATGGTTGGTTGTGCAAAAAAATCTGTTTTAAGAATGTAAGTTTAATTATAAAATAATTTAAAATTAAAATTGTTAAGTTTAAATATTTATTTAATTGGTGTAATATAAGTTAGATTATTATAAATATTATAAATTATTATAAATATATTTTTCATAAATTTTATATTTTTTTTTGCAAAAATTTTTTAATAGTTAAATTTATTTATATATATTAAATTATAGGACTAGTAGTAATTTTTTCAGATTCAAAGAAGTATTGTGTTTTTTTATATATTTTTTATAATCCAATACAGAAAAAAAAGATGAAACTTCAGGCTCAATTATATATTTGTTATAGTTATGTAATAGTTATATATATAGTTAAAATCATAATCAATTATTAGAAACTATGTAAATGTATATATTTTTTTTTCTTTAAGAGAACCTGATATTAAGAGAACAATTTGTAAATGTTGTCAATCTCCCCTTATACCTGGTGAAACTGCAAAAGTACGATTAATATCAAAACCTATAAAAAGTGTAAAATGGACATGTTTAACATGTTTAAGTATTAAAAAATACCCTACAAAAAAAGGATACAAATTATGGATAGAACAACCTAATTCGATAGTCCAAATTTTCAATTATGAATCAAAATTATTAGATGATAAGTCTAATAAGAAAGAAAAAAATAGCTTAGATGAAAAACATATGGATATTGAAAAGAATTAAATATACACAGATTTGAATATTTATTTTCACATGATGTGAGATGTGATGAATGTGTTGATATATGAATACTTTTTTTTATCAATGACTTACATAAAATATGTTACAATAAATTTATAACCAATAAACAGATACTTTTACTAACTATAATATTCGTAACCACCTAGTAATATTATGATACTGATATTAATTTTACATTAAATGTTTATAGACATAACATGATCGTAGTTAAGTTATTGTTTTTGAATATATGATATACTGTATGTTTAGAGCCGTTCGCAATAAATTTCATAGACCCCAATGCACATATGTTTCGTTGAGGACGGTTTAGATGATGAAAAACAGTGTGGTCTTCGCAGCGCGAAATGATTATGTTTTTACATAACATTGAAATTTGATGCGAATGTCTCCATTTCACTAGCTATGATATGACTATATCCGCCCATCGCCAATGAGTTGTAAGAAATCTCAAATGCAATTTAACTGTCACTATATGCGGGCGTAATCAAATCACAGATTAATCAGATAAAAATCAGTCATTTAATCCTAACTTAAATAAATATAACATATTGAAAATTAATAATTGTACATGAACTTATATGATATATATTGATATTTCGATTGAATTGTTTTTCTTATTACAAATATTTTTAACATTATGAGTATGTTCTCTTTATTATTAGAACATTTTATTGTATGTTAATGCCATAATGGCAGTGATTTGTTCACAAGATAATGACACTATAAGTACGTTCTTTTTTGTTACGCGTGCAAAACGTACATAAGTTATATAAATACTAAACTAGTGAGGAAGTAATCAGAAAACTGCGCTGGACGGAGTCTACACATTCATTTATATACATATATCTGTCGTGCCAAGCTTTGGTCATTAAGCTATTTCACAGTGTCTATTATCTAGCAATTTTGATTTTTCTAACAATGAACCTAACAATTAGTTAGATAAGACCATAGGTTGGCAACGCACACATATATACATGCACACACCAGCTACAGGGAAATATTTATTCCAGTAATATTGACTGTTCGTTGTTACTCTTCATCTTGAATTCTTCGCTGTTGAAGAGTTCGAACTGAAATTGCAAAAGATGCACAGTCAGGGTAGATTTTTCTGCATAATTCGGGATAATTTGCTCTTCTTGTACACGCGTCTACTCGCAGACAAACCTAACGATATTATCCGATTATTGTCGAAAAGGTGTGTGCATGCGAGTGTAATTTGAGAAAGGCGCGTGCAACAGTTAGAGCAGTGGTTAGAGAGGTACAATGTATGATGATAAGTTATATTATTGATTAAAAAAGAGGGATTGACATAAAACTTAATTTATACTAGCCCTGAAACGAATTGGGGTTGACCATCACGATCAAGTGTAAATTGAGGCATTACATTCGAAGATGGCTGAAATGTTGATCCTTGGAAACCCATGGCTGATTCATAAAGCTATGTAAAAACATATAATATAAATATATATTTTCAAATTATATAATAATTTATCTAATATATATATTTAATAATTTTTCTTCATACATTGTGGTTTCCTGGAAGCGTTGTATAATCTGGCGTCGTAGGACGATGCCTATTCGTAGGTAGTGGACGTTGAATAGTAGCATAAGTGTTATCTTGAGATGTATCACCCATACCAACACTTACACCACTTCCACGTCTTTCTGTACCTAGACCACCTTCAGGTTCACTAAATACTTGCATTGTTAATTCTTGCTCTTCATATAATTTAAGTTTTCTGGAAATGAGCATTATAAAAATATATCATATTGAAACATATCTTTATAAAACATAATTTTACTCACTGTTCAATCCATAAAGGATTTTCTGTAGTATTTAATTCATCGATAATTTGTTTCTTTATTAAGCCATCTTTTTTTCGTATATCATTTGGCACAGTGATTACCCTAAAATATATTATATAATATAATATATTTTATATTTTCCATGTTAAAATAAGGATATTTACCAATGTCGTAAACAACAACAAACTACTGTTACTGTAACTGCACCAACTAATAAAACTACTAATAAGGCAATTAAAGCAGCTAATGCAGGATCGAAAGGTTCTTCCTGTACTCCAGCATAAGCAGGCTGAAAAATTATATCACAAAATCCAATTCTATTAATATATTTATATAATTTTAAGTATACAAAATTTAATATAAAAATTTAATATATATTTACCACAACATTTTCAATAGCAAAACCGGCATAATAATCTTTCAAGAAATCATATTTTGCATCAATAACTTTGAGTACTTGTGGAACTGGAGCGATAGTTTGGGTTTTTGATTCCACTACGTGTAAATACATGTCGCACCTATAAGTTATATTTAGATATTATGTTTTAGATATTATATTAATTTAAAAAATATTCAAAATATTTTTCTTTACCATTCTCTACGAATATGACCTGATGCGTCTACGTGATATCGTATATCATCGACAACGACTCTACTTTGAGTTGCATTCGATAATTCTGATACGATTTCGTCACGTTCACGATTTACTTCTTCAGGAGGTCTTGATAAAATAACTCTTATTAACTGTGAGGCTTCAAATACCCAAACCTTCATTAACATAATAAATAAATAATTAAAAAATTAAACATGAAGATACTTGCATATGAAATAACTTACATGAACTCTAGTCATTGCATATCTTTCTGGAATAGCAGCTTCTTTTGCTATAACTTCAACAATGAATCTATCTTGATTGTATTCGGCCATATATCCACTTGTAACAAGTTTACCATCTTGTGTTACAATGAAAGGACTTGGAACTATAGAACCACTAGGTTTTTCTGATCCATATTTGTAAAGATTTGCACTGGCAACATAATAATGAAGTGTGCCATTATCTCCAACATCCAAATCTGATGCTGTTACTTTTGTTACAAAATCGTTCACATTTGCCATTGAATTAACACCAGCATAATAATCATTACGTTCAAATATTGGTGAGTTATCATTTTCGTCCAAAATAATTATAGTAACATTTACATATCCATGGTCCGTATTGTGCATTAATGGTCGTCCTGCATCTGCAGGATTTATATAAATATCAGGATCATTAGAAGCCAATATCGATAAAACATATTTATCTCGAGTTTCACGATCGAATGATTTATTTGTATATATGCTACCATCAGATTTGTCTATATAAAATGCATAATTTTCGTTTCCTGAAAAATGATTATGACATTCGCATAAATTTATTTATCGCTACTTAATACTTCTATAATCTTGAAAATTATAATTATATATATTATTTACCAGCTTCTATATAATAATATACTTTTGCGTGTCTTCCTTCATCTTTATCTTCCGCAATTACTTTTCCTACAAAGTAATCTTTTGGGCGATTTTCTGATATTTGAAAATGATATTCATCATAAAATTGTGGCGTATTATCGTTTGTATCAACTAATTGTACAGTAAGTAGGCGTAATGTTTCATATGCTGTTGGTGTACCATGATCAGCAGCTACAAGAACAAGCTAAAATAATATTAAAATTAAGTATCATTATTTTAAATATGATGAATATTATAAATTTTTTAGAAATATGCGAATAAAATTTACCTCAAATTTGCTTTTTACTTCACGATCAAGAATAATTTTCGATCTTAATTCACCTGTTTCTTGATCTATAGAAAATTCTTCCGTTTCTTGAATATTTCGATTTCCAACTTTTAAATGATAACTTACGCGTCCGTTTTCACCAGGATCTCTATCGATCGCTTTCACGGTTAATATTAAATAATTTAGGACACCTGTGTTCTAAAGAATTTTGTTCATTATTATATTGGTATAATTTTAACAAATCAAATCAATTTTATTAATGATGATATTATTTTTACACACCTCAGGTACTTCAACAGTAGCGTTTGTTAATTCAGGTAGAACAAATTGTGGTTTGTGTTGATTTACTGGTGTGACTCGTATATCAACATAACATTTATCTGAATGTGGACCATTACCAGCGCCATCTCTTGCTTCTACTTCAATTCTATAAGAACCAGCTCTACCAAGAAGTGCTGCTCCAGGATATAAAATACCTGTTTCATGATTTAAAGAAAATGATTCATTTTCATTTCCATGAATTATAGTATACCAAACTTCTCCATTGATTCCTTCATCATGATCCACAGCTCTGACCTTATAAGAAATATATTGTATAGTAGTCTTTTCAACTATGCAATTCTTTAGAATCATGTTCAAATTGGAATTACCTGTAAAATAGGTGCAGGTGGATTTACTGGCAGATTTTCAGCAACTGAAGCTCTATAACTATGTTGTGTAAATATTGGTCGATTATCATTAACATCAATGAGTTTTACAATTACTGGAACTGTAGTACTTCGACGTGAATTTATATGGGCACCATCACTGGCCATTACTGTTATAGTAATATTTGGTGTTATTTCTCTATCAAGGACAGCAGCACTACCAACAGTAATTTCTCCTGTTTCATGGCCTAATAATTTATAAAAATATATGTTTAAACAATAAAATATAATTTTACATCATTATGAACAGAGAATTTAACTTACCAATATTAAAGTCAGCAGCATGATCACCTATAAGACTATAACTAACTTCTCCAAATGGACCTTCATCTCCATCTGTTGCTTTAACAACAATAACATGAGTACCTGGTGGTGAGTTTTCTTTTACAGAGGCATTATACAGTTCTTTCTCGAATTTAGGATCTTGATCATTAACATTTATTACAGTAACAATTACTTTAGTAGTTGCAGATAATTGAGGCACTCCAGAATCATATGCAACTACTGTAAACTCCAATTGTTTTGTTTCTTCATAATCAATAACTTGACTTGTTCGTACAATTCCTGTAAAATTTATAATATTTATCATATACTTTTCATATTTCTCTTTAAGTGCAACAATTATATATATGAACCTGTAACATTATCTATATTAAAATAGGGACTTGGTGGTATAATTGCATATCCTGCTATATTACTATCTGCATCAACTGCTGTAAATGCTCCTACAATAGCTCCAGTTGGTTGTTCTTCTTGCATTTCTATTAAATATCGTGGATTTTCTCTTGTCCATGGTTTTAGGAATTCTGGTGCCATATGGTTAACATCAATAATTGTGACTACTAAAGTACCTAATTATAAATAGAATAATTATTTAAATATATATAAATAATTTTTTTTCGATATTTTAATATATCTGACTTAATTATATTCATTGAAATATATTAGAGATTTTATACACACACGCGCATACATAAATTAAGATTTTGTGTTAATTATTTATATCTAATATATAAATAATTTTTAATATATAATACCTCTTCCCTGTTGCAACGTTGGTGCAGTTGTATCACTGACGACCACAGTGATGCTTACTGTTGCTGCAATATCACGATCCAGCGATCTAACGACAGAAACTTGCCCGGTTGCGCGGTCAACAGCGAAAAAATCCTAAATTTATTACTTAATATATATTTTTCACAGATTAAACTTTTGTAATTATAAAATAAAACATCAGATCATACTTTAAAAGATTTACTATCATTGACTTGTTGACCATTTCTATCGATCGCAGTAATAGGTTCAGAAATGGCAAAATTTAATGCTTCCACATTGGTACTATCTGGATCTGTAGCTTTTAACGTTGTAAATACTGTTCCGATAGGAGTGTCTTCTGTAACTTCAGCTCTTTGAGTTTCTGGCGTGAAATAAGGCGCTTTATCGTTGCTATTTTCAACATTAATCATCAACGTTGTTGTACCGGTTAAACTAGGAGTTCCTAGTCATAAGAAGTTATATGAAATTATAAAAAACTTAAAAAAATAATTAATTATTGTAACACAATAATAGTGTCCGGATAACTGTCGCAAGTTTGGAATGCATTAGTTAATTTCAAAAAACAGAAAAAAATGTTCATATTTTATTTTACAAATTGTTTATTTTAAATTTCTCATATTCATATTCACAAAATTAATGTTCTAAGAATTGATGGGAATAATTGCATGATAATTGGCAAACAAGTGGGCAGAAAATGCGATAGTTAACCAAGCACTACTGTAATCATGTATATATGTATATTCATCTACCTTTATCGAATGCTATGACTTCTACGTGATACGTATTTTTATTATCATAATCTAGTTTCCTAAACACTGTTACTATGCCTGTTGTTTCATTGATGGTAAAATCATCAAAAGCTCCTTTCTGAATTCTGTAAACAAGTTCTGCATTAATTCCTGTGTCAGCATCACTCGCTGTAACTTCTTCTACGACCGTTCCTAAAATACACGTAAGTTAAGTTATACGACATTATTGAAATATAATAAAAAATTTTTATGAATTATTATGGAAAAAATTACATACCAATCGGTGATATTTCTGGTAAACTCGCAGTATAAAGTTCGTGAGGAAATACGGGTGCATTATTATTAACATCGCGAATTGTAATGTTAACAATGGCGGAATCGACAAATATTCCATCGCTTGCCTGTATGACAAGCGCAATCCAATCGTGAGTTGAATTGGTTAAATCGACCGGACCTTTATTTTTTATAGTAATTTCCCCAGTATCTTGATCTATAGCGAAAAGATCTAATTCATCGCCGCCTACTATTGCGTATGTAATTTTTGATGTTTTATCTTTATCTCGGGCTTGCACTTTCAAATCAGGTTCAAATTTTTCAGCTCCTTCGTCTATAACGGCACGATATTTGTCTTGCAAAAATCGCGGTGGACTATCATTTGCGTCTGATAAACTGATACGCAATGAAACACTAGTTGTTTGTCCCTGGCCATCATCATCCGTTGCCTAAGAAGAATGAAAATTAATTAAGTAAGCTTATATTTTTCATTGTTTTTTCTAATTAAAATTAAAGAAGCACGTCATATTTAATGAAATAAAATATTTCAATAATTACATATATAATTATATATATAAAGTTATTATATATATATATTAATATATTTATAGAATATCTTTGGAGGATTAATCATAGGATCAAAAAAATTAAATTTAATTTAATTTATTAAGTTATAAGAAATTTGAATTAAAAATGATATGGAGATGAAATAGTTCTATCTCGATTACATATCGTTTTGATTTATTTTCTGCTTTGTTTCATCTAGTAAACTTAGATTGTTAATTATAATTCAATAAATAATCTCTTGATATTTTAGTTTATCAATTTTTGTATTTGTTTTAATATCTAGATTTTTTAAATTTTACGAATGTATTAATACAGAAGTAGTATATGCATGTATATATTATATATATTTTATATAATTACATAAATTAATATTATATAAATTATGTGAATATATATTATATTTTTATATAAATTAATTTTTCTATTTAATTTCTAAACTTAAAAAGGTATAATAATAATTTATGATAAAGAAAAAGATTATATACGGCATACAAAAGTAAAAACTATTTTTTTTTTATTAAAAATTTATAAATTTTGCAATTATATAAAATAAATAGAGACATTCAAAAGCCTCGTCACGTTGCAAACAAGAATAGTATATGCTAGGAGAAGGACAGATATAGGATAAAAATTTGGGAATCAGCGCCATTTCTAGAGTGTCACAAATGAAATACATGTAAAAAAAAAAAAAAAAAACAAATGTTAGAAGAAAAATAGAGGTAAAGCAAGAATTAATCATTAGTGCAATCTCTTGATTGCTAAAGACATTTCTACAAGGCCAGCATAAGATAGGCCAAAAATTGAAGATTAAGATGCTTTCTATTAAGAATTTGAAAATGTATCTTAAGTTCTCAAGAGATGGTGCTGATGCTCAATTCTTATTCTACTTTACCTTGTTTTGAAGAAATGTCTTTGACACTCAATAGATGGCGCTAATGGTCAATCCTATCTCTATTCTTCTCTTACTATTTGTTCTCCTTGTTTATATTTGTTTAATCCGAGGCATTCAACATAAATTATGCAGTGTTAATAATTTTTCTCTAAATAGATGCATAAAAATCATATGATCAACTTTAATTTTTTACTAATTTCTTTAGGAATTATTTTAAAAAAAATTAGTTTGTAAAACTTATTGTATCTAAGATAAAAAGTACGCGAAGCAATATCCTATTGTACATGCTTTCTTTTTCTTTTATTCAATTATCTGGAAAAATTAATAATTTTTGAATAGCTTTTTTTGTAGGAAATAACAAATTGCTTAATTAAATTAATTCATTAAAAATTTTATGATTCTATTTAAAAAATTAAATTTTACTTTCATATGACTTCTATGCATCCATTTACAGAAAAACCATTAATATTGCGTAATATCATTTATTTTATTTATTTTATACTAAATATTTTTTGTAGAGAAGAATTCTTTTCATAACATTATTTTGTTAAAAGATGTTTTACTACATATACATGTTTTTAAAGACTTACGAATTCTGAAAAAATTTGGGAAAAATTTTTCGAAAAAATTATTTTTTAATAAACACTAAGTAAAATAATTTTGACGATGATATACCTTATATGTGAGAAAATATTCCGTTTGTTCTTCGTAATCCAAACAAGGTGATGTTCCAGGATTTGCACACGGAGCCACCGTAATGATCCCAGATTTCCGGTCAACAGAAAAATGTTGCGCACCTTGTCCAAGCAATTGATAAGCTATTCCAGCTGTGCCAAAACTGCAAATACAAAATTTTTATTAAACTTTCGAATTCGGATCCAGAAAAAATATTTCGAGATATTTCTTACCGTCCGCTGTCACGATCTTTAGCAGTGATCGTTATAACCGGTGTCCCTGGAGGTGCAGTTTCCAATACCACCGCAGTATAAGTGGGATTACTGAAAATGGGTGAATTATCATTTGCATCTGTGATAGAAACAGTCACGGTTGCCGTGGAGGAAAGTTTTGGATCTGTATGGACCTCTTCCGCAACGACCTAAAATATAACAATGGTATATCGTATAATTCTATTTTTACAGCACATTGATAGATATAAGCAAGAATATAATTCACGAGCATGAAAAAGGATTATTTGTTTACCAGAATAATGAATTTACGTTGGTTGGGATTCTCATAATCTAGCGAACCATTTGCAACGCGAATGTTCACGGAAGTGCTTCCAGTTGCCATAGTTGGTTCGATGGTAAATGCACCATCCGTAATGTCTTCTAAACGTAGAGAAAATACCGAGTTCAAGCCCTGTAACGACGTGATTTTATGAAGCTTGCAAATGAAGTTGTTTGTATAAATTGTTCATATTAAATTATACTTAATGAAATTTATTTTAAACTTATAATTTAAAAATAATTTCAAATAACGTAAATTTTGATAGATAATGCATTTCAATTAAGGTTATGTTCTTTATTTGACCAAATAAATAATAAATTGATTATAATAAATATAAATTGATGAAGAATTGATATTAATCAATGGCGGCTAATATATCTGGTATTGCGACATTATAGCATCTCCAATAAAAAAAATTTTGAATTTAAAAAATAAAAAATAATACTAATATATATCATAAATATAAATATAATATAATAAAATTTAAAATTATAGATTATAGATATGATTATGTTTATTGTGTTGAAATATTTTATTAATGTTTTATTTATGTCACATAAATAAGTGATTTTTTAAACATTTGCAATAATAATTAATAGAATGCTTATGCAACAATTCCAAATGATATTTTCAATGGTTACCATTGATTCGGAATGACTCAGATATCGATAAGTATGAGTAAGAGTTCTAATATCTAATAAAATTTTTCGAATTATTTATTTAAAAGATGGGTTTTTTTAGAAATTGAAGTTGATTTTATTTTTATTAAAAATTACTCACCACATCGGGATCCTTGACTGTCATGTCCAAATGAGGCAAAGGCGTGCCATTCGGCACATTCTCAGGAATTTCTATATTGTATTCGCGACGATTAAAAGTAGGTGGCTCGTCGTTGACATCCTTGATTGTCACCGTCGCTTCGGCCGTAGAAACTGTCAGATTATCGTTACCTGGCATACCGTCGATCAATTCACGTGCCCTCACTTTCAAGGTAAGCACCCCCGTCGAATCCTTTAATGCTTCCCTGTTTAACGGTTTCGCCGTTCTCAGCTCACCTGTTTCATCGTCCAATAGAAAATAGTCGAATGGATCTAAGTAAAAAAAAAGGAAATATAAAATGTTATTTTTTGATTTTATTAGTTGATTAATTAATTTAATTTTCATTTTTATTTTTCGAAAAATTATAAAAATTAATTATTTTTTTTGTCTTTTGATTTTAACTATTCCGTTCTTCTTTTTTATTTTTTTGTCATATTAGTTAAAACAATTTCATTTCCATTTTTTTAGAAACTTCCTTAGAAACTTCCCTTAGAAAATTAAGTAATCTTCTATCTTTTATTTTCAATTATTCTTTTCTTCTTTATATTTTATCGTATTAATTAATTAATTTTAGTTTTTTTTATTTTTACATTTGAAAAAAATAAAAATAAAAATAGAGTCTCAGATTAATTATTTTAAGAAATAAAGAGAATAAGCATATAGATAACTTGATAATAGCACATAGGAAAAGAAAATGGCGTCGACTCACTGGTAACTAATTCGTAAATCATCTTTCTTGGCATTCCTCTATCGCCATCCCTGGCTTTGACGGTCATGACCAAGGTTCCAATGGGGTCGTCCTCGCGTACCACACCCGTTAACGAGTCCAGAAATTCCGGTGGACTGTTCTGAATGTCTGCTACCTTGATTTCCACTCCTGTAGTCTCATTGTTCAACCCATCCTGTGAGGAAAATTCACTTGTACAAAAATGATTCGTAGCCTGATCCTGGATTATCTTTCGCGTGGTTTAAAGTAGACCCAATCTGCTCTCCTACCAATTATTTTAATCGCCACCATTTTTGTCTGTCAATTCAATTCCGGAAATCTATTTATTACGTATAAGTTGAACGAATTGGGAAACTTTTCAAGATTTTTATGACGTTAATTCATTCTCATTCTCTGCGTTGGACATTTCTTTAATTGTAAGACAGTTGATGCATTAAAAAAATATTCATTTTTCAACTTCACAAAATATTTACATCAATCTATTGAAAAATTAATAACATCAGAATATTATGCGCTCTTCGAAATCATTCAATTTTTATTTGAAATATATATATATTTTTATTAATATTTCCATAAACAAGTGAGATAATAAAATTAAAGTCAATACAAAAACGGTATTTACAATTTCTGGTAAGAAAATTTGTAATTTTAGTGCTTTAAAGTAAAATTTAACGATTATACTATTTTTAATTATTAAAGCATACACACTTTGCTTTTATTACAGCATGCATTCTTTCTGTTCTGTATGTGTATTATTTTATTATATTCTTTATTTTTGAATTTAACTAAATAATTAGAACTTTATCTTTAAATCAGCTAAAATTATTGCATACAAGTGTTTTTTAAAATAAACTCCTTAAAATAAACATTTTCCAATTAGATTCATATCGAAATAATTACCTGGCTATAAGAGTATAAAAAATAGTACGATATATCGATATATAAATTATTAATACGTATACATTTTGAAATACATTGATAATTGATAAAATTTAATTAAACAGACAATTAAATTTCGTTCAGGCTTTTAAATTGTTAAAAACTAAGTTTTTAATTGGTAAAAGAAAACAGGTTGAATTTTTTTCTGTGAAAATACGTTATTACTATAATAATTGTACTTTCAACTATAAATATAAACTTGGTCTTCAAAGTGGCACAAAGTCATTTCCAAGACTACGTAATTAAAATCAATTTTCAACCTTGGCTCGCATACCTGTTTTCAATCTCCGCGAAGACTTCCTAAATTCGCCATATTTACCTGCTCATTCGAAGCATAAATATCTTCTTTAGCGGCCAAGATAATTAACTGTCCCATCTTTCTCTTCACGGTAAACTTATTTTACAATTATTAAGAAATGGAGAGCAAATTGCGCTTAAATAATGACTTTCATCGAAGGAAAATCGGGAAAATATAAAAATTTTATAAAAGTGATAATTATTTACCATCCTCCAAATCTTGATGATTTTATCAAGATATTATCAAGATCATACCATGATTTATGTTTTAAATATATTTTAGTATTTGTTCATTAAAAAATTATTAACAAAACTGCGTCTTTTAAAACTCAGGTTAGATTAAATTAGATTAGTTTTAATTAAGTTTATTGTTTCAGATAATTGATTAAGGAAACTAATTCAAATCCAATGTAAATCATTGGTTTAATTAAATATTGAATAATTTTTACTTAATTTTGATTTAAGCTGAAATTAAACTTTAATTAAATTTAAAATTTGTATATCCATGATTAGATTAACTTTTTAATAAACAACCTAACCTATAATACTATTCGAAAAATTTTGACAACAAAAAAACTATAATAACACCAGAATATTATAAGATTAAAAATTTTTTTTAGATCGAACAGTGATCTATTTGTAATTTATCAAAAACATGGAAGCTGCTTTTCGATAATTGACGTGTTCTCTTATTTTTGTTATCACCTCGAAAAAATTTTTTTCTTGCAATTCGTTGAAAATTCGCTTTCGAAGAATTCATTTCCTATTTTGCTCGCGGAAATTAATGGAAACTGAATTTCATGTTCGCAATTGGCTGCATCAAAGAGCATTTTAAATTCAATAATCCGATCTGATCTTGTTTTATCCTTGTATTTTGGGGGATAAATTACTTGGGAGGTGATTTTTCGAGATTATAGTAGGATAAAAGAAGCGGAAGATTATAGGAACATTTTTCATTATGATGTATTGAGGAAGAAGGAAGTGTTAAACACCGTACAATTGTTGGGAACATTGTTTTCGAGCTCGTATCTGATGACAATGATAAATGTTAGTATAACGAAATAACGCAGTAACGAGATATCTAGATTAATAGATAAAAAATAACGCACTCTTCAGAACTATTAGTAAATTTTCTTATTTTTACTTGTTATTTTTCGAATTTATTTATCATTTTGTAATAAAATCTCTTATTTACGAATATAAAATATAAATATATCAAGAAATATCGATAAATATAATATTACATGATATAAGACAAAATGTTATCTTCATTTCTGACCTTGCATAACCTTGAAAATCATGATCATGTGCACGAATGCATTCTCATATATTTCATACATGATATAAAAATATATGTGATATTATATTTAAAAAACTAAAGATCGAGATTTTTCTTTTGAAAAATTGATGCACATTATTAATTTATAGAAAAATTTCTCTTTTTAATATTTTTTTCTAATACTTTACGAAAATAACGTTGACTAGTCTCCGAACACCTTATATATTTATATACGTACAAGAAATTCCACTGTTAAATGGAAATTATTTCGCTTACAAGTTCAGAAATTCTAGAATTAATTCGTATGATTTACAATAGCGTATTCAGCCTGATAACAAGCTAGATGCTTTCCAGAAGCGCGTCTTGTCGTAAATAGATTTATCTTAAGGACGAGTGTGAAGGTTAGAGGTTCTGGCGTAGCTGTGGTATAATTAAAACCAATTTTCGAGCAGTACTCACGCTTGCCCTGAGCAGTAGTTGGTAAAAGGGTCTCTCTCTGTAGTCGAGTGGTTGACGTAACACGAGGGCGCCCGTGTACGAATTCTGTCTTTTCTCCACATCCACTATACCAAACTTTTCACAGGCATCTAGAAACTGTAACAAAATGATTATATCGAAAGTGCATCGATTTGTTGTTTTTTAATATCTACGTATGTTCTCATATAATGTCTTGCGATGTATTTATCTATTTTATCTACGTAAGATAAAATCGTTTGGAGATCATGAAATCTTTTGTCTTTTTAATGATGTGATTGACGATAGAGTTTGGAAGATTAAATTAATTATGGAATAAGAATTGTGGAATTAGTAAAAATTCAAGCATTGTCAATTATAATCGTTGTAATTCTGCTGAATTATTATATTAATTATATGAAAAATATAATAATAATTATTTTTCAAATAAATAAACTTAGAAGTTACAGAGATGTCTTATGGATATCTTAAAAATAACTATAAACGTGATATTGTTAAAAATGTTTTATGAACATTTATATTATAAAGGATGTCTTAAAGAAAAGATGATTCAACAATTCTTTCTGAAATTAAAATTAAAATAGAAATTTAAATAATCAAATGAAAATATATATATTATTTATTAATAATTAATTTAATTATATATATTCCAAATATCTAAATATTTTATTGTAACTATTTTTAATTAGTTAAGTTAAGTTTATATCATAAACATTGCGATTAAAAAAACTATATATTTAAATCAAAATATTTTTGATTTAAATCATTCTCGATGAATCAACAATAATAATAAAAAAAAAAAAAAGAAAAAAAGACGATCCACACACGAGTTTAAATGCCGGAATATTTGTATACATCAACTCTGTCGATAATTGTCTCTGATGATAACTTACCTTTTTATCGACTTTGTTTTTAATAACAAAAATTCGACTATTTTGTAAATAAACGACACACGTGTGTTTCAAACATTAGTTACGTTTAATGATCGAGGGCATAGCGCGTTCCACGGCCTGTATAAAACGAAAAGAGGTATTAAAGTTCGCTGCCGTAAAGCCAGCGAGCCATTAGTTAAAAGGTTTTACAGTTTTATTGGTCGTCTAACGGGCTCCATGAATTTATCGAGCGGATATGACATAGAGGTTATGCGTCTTCGTGCTAATATTCCAGCCCCATCCTTCGAGATCGTCGCGTAGAACTGGTAAGGCCAGATAATTTCCGCGTATCTTGAGTGATAAACGTATTGGATATTTTTCGAACAAAATGCCCGATATGCCAGCTATTTTTCTCCCGATTTGATCGTTTTAAAGCCCGACCGCAGTATGTTCCGTTATCGACCCTAGAACACGATACCAATGTTTTCACGTGATATAAATAATATTTCAAGAAGTTTGTGGCCTTTTTGTTATTAGAAGTCGTGTCAACATGAAAGATTTCAAATTATGAGCTTATGTCATCTTATAAAATTTCTCATTTTTTTTTTATTTATCTATCAATTTAACTTGCTTCTTTTGAGATACTTTTAAATTATACAATAATATATTTTTTTTCTTAAATTATTCTACATTTTGAAAATAATTTATCATTTTGTTTAGAATAAAATTGAAATAATGTAAAAATAATGTAAAAAATAATGTAAAAAAATAGTTTTTATTATAAACTATAAGTTAAATGATCAATTTATTATTTTTTGAAATGTTTATTTTATCTTTAATTTTTTAATCAGTTTGGAAATACAGGAAACATATAATATTTAATAAAAAATCAGATTATGAAATGAATCCATACTTGTATTCAGTTTTGGATTATATTACGTAATTAAATGCATGGTAAACTGATAATTTTGTGAACTGCAGTTATAAGGAATCAACTCCACTCTTTGGTAATTCGAGTAGAAGAAACCATTCAAAAACGAAGTTCTTTTTCAAATCAAGTTCATACTATTAATTCATATCCATTTTTAGTCTTTAATTTATCTTTAAAATAATTTTTTATTGTTGTGAAAATGTGTCTCAAAACTCAAAATTTAAATCTGTAAATATACATCGAATATAAATATTTATAACACTAATCGTTAATAATCTTTAAATTTAAAGAGAAAAGATTTTTTTATAAATAAATAGCTTTTTTAAAATACTCAGTTACGTGTAAAGACTTCACAAATCATAGGTTAAAAACTACTAATCTAGTTAATCAATATTGTTGTAAACTTTTTGATTGAAAGTAATCAGATAGAAGAAAATTATATATTTTTTTAATTTATTCATAATTTTTTCGCTTGAATTTCTCTTTTATCAATTTTATATCTGTGTGAATAATAAATAATGGATATTTTATGGATGAATAATCAGACTTTTCATAACGATCACGAAAAAATATTATTTACTTTATAATTAAAAAATAAAATATGCAGAATTTTCTTTTCTATTTTTCTTATGTTTTTATATTTTCGAAGTAATATTACCATACTTTTAATTTTCTTTATCATAGGAAGAATAATTACAACGGAATCTCTTTCACGAAAAAGCATGTAATTAATTAACGTCAAAAGTGTTTTTCCTAAAGTTTTCTCCAAGAAAAAAAAATGCTTTTTCTTTAAAATATATATATATTATTAACGTATACAGAATATTTTCTTCATTGGATTATCGTACAAGAAATTGTAATTATAAAAAAAATTGTGTTTATAAAAATTATTTATAATAAAAATATACGTTATGCATTATGCAATCATTAATAATTTTTCTATACTTATATTGAAAAAATTAAAATTATATTGAAAACGTAATTTTTAATGACTAAAATTTTTAATCACTAATCTTTACTATATTTGTTGAATGGATAAAATAGAGAATTCTATTAGGTTTTTTTTAATAGGATTTTGTCAGATTCTGTACACTCCAAAGATTATAAGATCTCGTTGCCAGGCTTGAAAAAGTGAATTCATTTATCGAGTTTTTATTTATGCAAGACATTAATTTTGAATTATTTAGAGCATAAGTCGATAAACATTATTACAATTTTTTTCTATAAAAAGTACTTGATTATAAGGCTTCTGATTAAGTGAAATCAAGGAAGAAACAGAAGAATTTACTTTACCAATAATGGAAATTTTAATATTGCAAAAGTATAATTTTACACATTTTAAAAATTATCCAATTTTTTACATATTGTTTTTTCATTTTATCTTGTTAATTTCTATTCTTATAACAATATTTTTACTTATTAATTTTTTATTTAGTTATTTAAAATTAATATAATATTTATTGTCCTTTTTAATTAAATCAATTATTTTTTTCAAATAAGAAGAAGATGAAGATCTCTTTTTTCCAAAGAACATATTTACTCTCTTTTAAAGTGAATATACATAAGATATAATTCATTTAACGAGGATTTAATCACAACTCGAAAATTTTTGAATAATTTAAAAATATTCTTTAATTCATTTGTATAAAAATTTTATAAAGAATTGATTATCAATTATTTTTCTTACATTCATTATTTTTCTTTGAAATAAAATTATGAAAAAATGAAAGAAATATAAAACAAAATCTTTGTATCATTATCATGATAGAACCTCCATTTTATTAACCACCACCATTTCCTTAGCAAAAAACCTTCTAAATAATTACATTGATTTACGAAACAACATTTCAAGTTCATATCAAATATTTCTCAAATATTTGGAAAAAAAAAAAAAGATCGATTTTATAGCGATTTATACAAAGACTTTTAAATTTTATCTCGAAAATATATGCACATTCAATTCAATTACTTTCCGTTTCTCTTTCAATTTTCAAAAAAAAAAAAAAAAATTAATCGATCGTTTATTTTTGCACGAATGAAAAAAAAAAAAAAAAAACCCCCGTAATCAACTTTTCCAGATACCCACGTACGCGCTCGAAATTGAAATTTCATAGAGATGAATTCCCCTCCGCGCCGCAATAAATGCCGTAGAGCTTGCTAAAATAAATAATGGAGGGCGGGAGGATCTCGGGTGTAGCCGATTTGACGTGAAATAGCTGTTTTAAAGGAATACTTCCGTATTCAGTGCGGGGCGGCCGGCATAGAAAATTCAAGCGATTAAGAGGTGAACTTTCTGAACCGGTTGACTTTATATTGTCGTATTAATATATTACAGAGGACACAGAGCGGGAATATGCACCGCGTCCTATTAAATAGTCAAATGTCCCCGAGATTAATTTCGCAGACACTAGGCGGAAGGTAGGAGGAATTTATCTCGTGACGATTAATCTTCCCGGTTGGACGTCGAAAACGTGCACGAAAGAAAGAGATTACCACCGGATTTCGTTATGCATTAATTACAACGAGCATTGATATTTCTTTGGCAGGAAATTATTTACGGTTGATATCGAACTCTTGAAAAGTTTCATCGTGGCGAATATTTATGGCCAGCTTTTTTGTAACGTTACAACACGATATTGTTTATATTTCGCTTCACAGTGAAATCGATTATAATTTTATTTAATATGTACAAATTATTATTTTTTTTCCATTTTTTTTTATTATTATATTTTTATATTATATTTTTATTATTATATTATTATTATATTTTTATTAATGCGATGGTGGATGAATATATATAGAATATGGAATGGATGAATATGGAATGATGTACAAAAATTTGCAGAAATTTTTTTGGAAAATTTTTTTAACGTAACGTTACAACACGATATTGTTTATATTTCGCTTCACAGTGAAATCGATTATAATTTTATTTAATATGTACAAATTATTATTTTTTTCCATCTTTTTTTATCATTATATTTTTATATTATATTTTTATTATTATATTATTATTGTATTTTTTATTATTATATTTTTATTAGTGCGATGAATGAATATGGAATGATGTACAAAAATTTGCAGAAATTTTTTTGGAAAATTTTTTTGTAACGTTATAACACGATATTGTTTATATTTCATTTCACAACGAAATCGATTATAATTTTATTTAATATGTATTATTACTTTTTTCCATCTTTTTTTATTAGTGCGATGGTGGATGAATATGGAATGACGTACAAAAATTTACATTTATATTTCTCGTAAAATTCTTTTGGAAAAATTTTTTGTAATATTAAAACACGATATTATATTTCGCTTCAGAGTGAAATCGATTATAATTTTATTTAATAAGTACAAATTATTACTTTTTTCCATCTTTTTTATTAGTGCAATGGTGGAATGATGTACAAAAATTTCAATTCGCAGAAATTTTTTTGGAAAAATATTCGATAATTCCATAAAATATTTTCACGTGTATGAACGCTATTGAATGTACACTATTAAGTATTAATATTCGTTTTTCCATTAATGATTTTATTTACAATTTTTACAATAGTTAATTAATTTGTAACTAATTAATTTGCACGAGTGATACAACATTCTTACGAGGCAAAATGATTTAAATCGATATTTTGGGTATCAATCGATGTTGTTATTTCTTCTTCCACACTCAATGGCTCAATATAACAATATTACCATCATTGTACTACTATTATCCATTAATATAACATTATGCATATACATAAGAATTTTGTACCGTATATCGAACTTGTCGAATGTTTTTCGATAAATTAACACGTGACGTAATTTTGGGGACGAGGAGCGTTCGCAAGAACTGAGAGGTTAAGCTGCTTTTTAATCAGCGCTGTTCAAAATTAAAAACCTCGTTACGTAAAAAGCGCGAGTTTCGAAAATGTTACACGCGAACTCGATGCATTATAAACTCTCCGCTTATATATAAATAAAATACAGGTACGACAACTTTATAAAAAGAAAGAAGAAGAAAAAAAAAGTAATCGTTAGTTGATTAAATCGTGGAGGGAGCATTAAAAAAAATTATCGAGGGGACATTAAACGAAAAGTATCTCGTAAATTATGCGTCGAGAATTTTTAACGTTTCACATTTAGGATTAATTAACATAAATTGATCTTTTGATTTTGTACGACGAAAGCAACATAAAGATATATATATCAAAATTTTTTAAACGACACGCTTAAAATAATAATCCGTGAAAGGTGAAATTCTCTCGATTTAAATCTGTCTCGATAATATGATTATCGAAGGAACAACGTTGTTTGACAGTCGTTACAATTATTTATAATATTCCATATATGAAATCGTATAAATAAAGTAATTGAGATATTTGAGGATTAATTGCATGAATGTATGAATATTTTGCGAGTATGCATTATTATAAGTATAAAAAATTACTGTACTGTAGATAATAGATAATTTGAATATATAAGTTTCGAATTGATTTGAACGTATGAACTATTTTATCGAAAAACAAAGTTTGTCGTGGAGATAGAAATTGTCTCTAGTTTCTAGCCTGTTTCCAAATGAGTTTGTACAGTTCGTTGAGGATAATGAAATAAATATATATATATGCAAATTCAGTTTCGAATTTGTTGATGATTGAAATAGTAGAGGCAGTTAAATCGTTCTTGACTATTGAATGAAAAGTATTTTTCCACACGCGCGAAAGGGTTGGTAAAATTTAATATTTCAGAGTAAGGATAAAATTTTAAAAAATGAAGAAGAATTGATAGAATTATGATACTCTTCTTTTTCATCGTGTTCTTCTCTGATTAACTTCGTTTTCAAAACGAAAAGAATTAATTATCAATATTTTATTCGTTGAATAGATAGATCTATTTTATTGTTTTTCAACTTTTTTATTATATATAATCCAATATTCTAATATATACACAAAAAAGTTTATCATTTTTACTTCTGTCATCATTATTATTATTCAAAAATTTCTCAATCGTGATATGTGAAGGATGCATAAAGGTCAACTGTGTTTTTTTTTTAAATAAAATCAAAACAGCTTCTACGTAAAAAATATTCTAAAAACTATCTCATGTCGGAATATTAATAATATAATATTAATAATTAATTAATAAAATTAATAAAATTAATAATTAATAAAATAATTAAATCAATAAAATATTCCCTTGATCTAATGATTTTTGAACATAGATCAAGAGAATCAAACCGAATATTTCCTTCTGAATATCAAGTTGCGTCGATTAAAAAAAAAAAAAACAAATTTTTTTAACTTTCACACACTTCTAACTTTTCTCCCTTCTACTGAATAAACTGGAGAAAACTACAATGCATATTTTTCTTAAACAAACCGAAAAAGTTTATCGTGTAAAATTTTCAAAAACTCGATACAAGTTTGAAGTAAAGAATGCATACTTCGTACTCGAGCAGCATCATACATCATCTCGCGATATATTAAAAATTAAACTTAACATTGGCTCAAGCGACCCGTAATCCACCTATCCCCCTTTCTGCATACAGACTAGAGGAAGATTTAAAACTTGATTTCTAGAGACTAGAAACAAATGCAAAAATATCCGGATAAAAATTGCAAGAAGAAGATGAAATAATTCTGTGCGTTTCCTAGAAGAATCTTTCCAATTTTACAACGAATGAATATTTAATCGATATTTTTTTTTTTAATAGAAAAAAATTCTAGCAAAATACTCATAATATTCTTAAAAAGAATACTCATAATACGAGTCGAGTTCGCTTCGAATTCACGTGTTTCGAGAACACCCGACACCCGAAGGCGAGATTGAAACGAGAGGAGGGGAAGAAAGTTGGATCCGTGACTTGGGCGGGATATTAGTAGCGTAACGAGTATTAATGACTCACCTGTGGCTGGGGGACGCAGGTTAGATCTATGGTATCGCCCAACAGGTCAGGATCTATCACTTTAATACCCGAAAGAATGGTGGAGCCGACCGGAAGGTCTTCCTCGGCCACAGCCTCGTAAGGCACGTTCAGGAAACGGGGAGGATTGTCGTTGTCGTCGAGCACGATCACGTATGCATCGACACCCACTATGTTCGGTTGTTGACCGGCTGGCACTTCGTCTTCCAACGTCACTCGAAATCGTATCGTGCCGTTTTCCTGAAAACGAATCGATATTTCGAATTAATTAGAAAATTAAGGGCGAAATTTAAGGAATCTTTAACTTCTTTGCGCTCCAACGGTGACTTTCGGCACCATTGGGATTGATGCGGCAACTTGAACGGCGATAATATTTATTTATGTTTGAATGTTTTTTAGAATATAAATAGGTTTCTAAGCTCTTTATGTATAATTTATGTATAATCTTAATTGTCAATCGTAATCTTAATATTTATGTATAATCTTAAATGTGAGGTGTGGAATAATGTTTTGTTGAATGGCTAGATTTTTTTATCTCAAATTAGACCGTGAGTCGAACGACATCTTTGGCATTAGGCTGAGTTTGACAGTCGTGGGAATAGATACATAAAATATTAAAATATAAAAGTTTTATTATTTGTGCGTGAAATCATTATAAATTAGCTGTAAGAAATTCCATCGAACGGTTTTTGGAGTTGCTGGTTCGACAGGCTAGGAGTGCAAAGGATTAATTTTAACCTTGTTTGCAAGGAGGAAAAGTGTTCGCAAGAAGTCGAGTATAAATCGTTTAATGATGGTGGATATGGCTTTAAGAAGAGATGTTTTAAAATAATCGAAAATGATGTGTATACAATATATATAATAATAATATTTTATATAAATATGAAAATTTTTTTTAAAATAATAATAATAATAAAATGTTGTGCATTTGTTTATATTTATGTATATTATTATATTTATTTGTATATTTATTTGTAATATTTGTTATTTGTATATATTTATTTGTATATTATTATATATGATATATAATGTTTATAAAAAGTATATTGTAATGTATATATAAAAATTTTTGAAATGAAAATAATAATAAGAAAAAGATGTTGTGCATTTATTTTTAGAGGAAAATCGAAACGTAATATTGTCATACACATATATAGGTAAGAAAAGAATCGAGATTGAAATATCTCTTGATTCGTGGAATGTTTTGAATTTTTCGAAGCAATGCTGAGATCTTGGATTTCTCTCCCTTTGAAGAGAAGAATATTTTAATAGAGCAAAAATAGTGAAAAGTTTCGATGTACAATTTATAACAGTATTATTCTTCTTCGATAAAAAATTATAATAACTTTAATTATATTTCGTCTTTAAATGTATTTATCACGATTTGTAATAAATTTAAATTGGATTAGATTTGTATTACATTATTTCTTATTGTCACGATTTCATATGGAACAAAATATTGTTATCGGATATTATATCAGAATATCACGTTTCATATTTTATTTAATCGGAAATGATTGAAGATATTAATTAATTAATTATTGCCAATAAAAGCAAGCATGCATGTGACAAGCTATATCGTAATTTTATATAAATGTTTATAATTAAATCATAATTGAGTATACGTAACGTACATTGTTATATTAATCTTGTTATCGAGAGAATATATCGATACTTTATATTTTGCTTGAAAATATTTAAGAATTATTAAATTAGAAAGAATACACGTTACAGAACAGTATACAGAAATTTTTACATTTCTTTGTCAATTTTATTTAATATTTAAATGGCGTTCGTTATTAGACGCCATTTTATTTGAAACAACGAGGCAAAAATTTCGTAAAGAAAGATTTGGATTAGTGAAACATACATAATCTGTGTGTTTTCTCTTAGAGATTATCTTTCAGTCGATTAATATTGGATAATGAACACTAATTGAGAGGAAAACAAACATCATTAAAGGATAGTTTGCTATAATGGAAAGTGGCAACTCTTGTTTGAGTGTTTTTAAATTTAACGAACAGATTTTTCTTTTTACATCGATACCACATTTTTTAATCCTGTTATGGCTCCTCAAATTTTAATGAATAATAATTTATTCGACTCATAGATAAATTTTTAATATAAATATTTTCTTTCGTATCAACGAATATTTTAACGATAAAAAAAAAATACAAATTAGTATCAAATGATAACTTGCAAAAATAAAAAGATGTGAGAAATAAAAAATTATCATCAAACAGATTAATCACTCAATTAATAAATTTTTAAAGCTAAATAATTAATAATAACATGTTCAGTTATTGAAATAGAAGATTTTTATTCAAAATTTAATATCGTGAATGATCCATTCTATGCATCCAAATTTATATTTTGAAATTTTATTTTGAAGAAGAAAGAAGATTAAATGAACATTCTAACTTAATTTAATTTCAATCATACAAACTAAAACTAGAACTTTTTGTATAATAAAAATTTACTTTTTAACATAGTATTTCAGAACAATAACAGAAAATGATACCAAATGATTCCAAAATATGATTGACGAAGCGCAAAACTCTAAAAAAAATTCTAATTTAATTTTAATCATACAAACTAAAACTAGAATTTTTTGTATAATAAAAATCTATTTTTTTAATATATATCTAACATAATATTTCAGAACAATGACAGAAAATGATACCAAATGATTCCAAAATATGATTGATGAAGCGCAAAACTCTAAAAAAAATTCTAATTTAATTTTAATCATACAAAATAAAACTAAAACTTTTTGTTACATGTATAATAAAAATCTACTTTTTAACATATATTTAACATAGTATTTCAGAACAATGACAGAAAATGATACCAAATGATTCCAAAATATAATTGACGAAGCGCAAAACTCTAAAAAAAATTCTAATTTAATTTTAATCATACAAACTGAAACTAGAACTTTTTGTATAATAAAAATCTACTTTTTAACATAGTATTTCTGAACAATGACAGAAAATGGTACCAAATGATTCCAAAATATGATTGATGAAGCGCAAAACTCTAAAAAAAATTCTAATTTAATTTTAATCATACAAACTAAAACTAGAACTTTTTGTATAATAAAAATCTACTTTTTAACATAGTATTTCAGAACAATGACAGAAAATGATACCAAATGATTCCAAAATATGATTGATGAAGCGCAAAACTCTAAATCGGCAATGCACGATCCTTCCTTAATTATGAAACAATTGTGTTGGCGGCAAGAACCATTTAATCGATCATACAAAGGAGTTTCGGAAATTTTAACACGAAAATCGAACTAAAGGAGGCAGTTATCGGAAGGCAAATTTACTATGGAGTTAAACAATCCGTTCGAGTTTCCAACTTCCTATTTTAACTGTGAGAAACGTTTCATCGTTGAAAATCGACTTGCGAATGATCGATCCTCCGCGAAACAGAGGCAACGACAGAAGCACGTGCACGGTTTAAGCATGTTTCAGACCGAATGAAAAGGTTTCTTTGAAGGATCGTAGTTTAGGATAGAGCTAACTTCCCACCCTTTGTATTGTGCATCGTAACCATTTGTGCATGAGTAACAGTCACAATGTAGTTGGCGAGTTGGTGGGAACCGAAATCTCAAGTGAAAACTTAATCAGAGAAAATTTGAAAATAAATATTAGAGATATTAGAAATCAAATATAAATAGATTTTCTTCTCTTTGCACTAAATTAAAATGAATGGATTTATTGGATTTGTGAAATTATAATACGTATGCAATAATCTAATCAATAACAATAGATGTGATAAAATGATGAAATTGTAATTTGATAAATAAAATTGTAGTCTCCTTTCCAATGAGAATGGCAAATTCAAAATTTTCTTTTCTTCATTCTCCAGTTCTTCCATTTTGTAGCACAGTTTTTACGATCGAAGATTACAATTTTATCGATGAAGATACCTGGTACTCTTGAAACTATCTATTGAAAATAGTAGGCTATTGAATTTTATAATTCGAAGGATCGTCGAACGAGTTTTAATGGCAGTTTCTGGCAAAAAAAATTAGGACGAGTCATAATTTTCAACAATTTTCTTTTATAAAATAAAATTTAAACGAAATTTTATCAATTATTAATATATTTCTCACGTATACGTTAATAATATAATTCATAACATCAATCATTACATTAACTGATTTAAAGAAAAAATTCTGAATGTTTGAAAATTATCCAAAAATAAATTATCAAAGAAAAAAGATATTATATTATTAAGATTGAATCTTCAAAAATATTATTATTCAATGAAAATCTTGTTATGAATTAATAACTAGTGACTTGGAAATTGTTCATCATTACTCTTAGTATTATGCTTTATATATCCATGCTGTGGATGTTTAAGGATTAAACACATTACGTATCCGCATTGTGGTTCCTTAATGAAAAAGGATCCTCCAACTCGTGTACTTACTTAGTTTCCCTCTTTAGGAGGACAACAGAGAAGTTAGAAGAGAATTCGTAACAAACACTTAACGTGCGTAACTACTACACCTCCAAGACTCACTCTCTTGTGCACTTTAAAAATTAAATTTAAACTTTGTGATACGTATAACAACTCGTATAAACAAACTGCACCTTATTTTATTATTTTTTTCAATTATTCCTTTATCAGATAAATATTTATCATAATCTTAATGTATCTAATCGTTTAAAATTTGTGTAATATAATAAATAAAGTATAATAAACTTATCAAGATTCATCATCACAAATTTATTTATTTCGTGGAAAATATTTTTCGCACCAATCATTTATACTTTCTTCAAGTATAACAGAAAAAGATTAAAACAGAAATAGATATTTTACATTTGTCCAATTGAAACTCATTTTTCTTCCCCAATATCTATCTATTTTCTCACCAACGTCAACCAAACTCCATTTTTTCCCCCCTCAAAACTCGCATGTTCACAATTGACAAAGAACTAAATTAATAATTTATTAAGCAAGAACCACGCTGATGTTGATATTTGATAAAACCCAAAACCATTGGATTAAAAATTCGCAAAATGTATTTTTTTAAAATTTTAATAAAACGGTTCCACCCCCTGATAAAGACCGTGACGAGAGAAGGGAGGCCGCTATTCACCGTGAATCCGGATTGGAACAGGAAGCGAAAAGAAAAGAAAAAAAAAAAAAAAAGAAAAAAAGGAAGACGGAATCCAACGTAACGACTGTAATTCAACGCCGAGGTCAAGGATACAACGCGT